AGAAGGCCAACACAGCCGATTTCTTCAATGAAACTTCTCAAGCAAACAGAAGGCACGGTGAAACAGTAGGGAACAGCGTTCAGAGACTCAGTAGGCACTACTTTACACGAAGGGTGCTGTGAGTGTGGAACCAACTGCCCGGCCATGTCATGAAGCCGATACTCTGGCTTCTCTCAAGAACCGGCGGTTCAGTTAACTATTAAAAAGGCAAATTTACTGGACGGGTCCAACGGCCTCCTCTCGTCGTATTCTTACAAGATGCGGGCGACTGGTGCGGCCGACTCCTGCCCCTCCGCCGCCGGTCTTACCTCTTGATGTCAAAGTGCACCCTCTGGTGGTTTTTGAGCGCCAGCAGGTTGTAGAAACGCTTCTGGCAGACGAAGCAGCGGAAGACGCCGGTCTTGTGGGACTTCTTGTGGTTGAGGAGGCTGCCGGCATGGCGGTAGGCCCGGCCACACTGCTCGCAGCGATGGGGCCGGTCCGCGGCGTCGGGGCCCTCCTGCAGGGCGCCGGGGCTCTCCGCCTTCCCTTCCCCTCCCGCGTCCGCTGCCTCCGCCGCCTCGCCGCCCGCGTCCTCCGCGCAGCGGTGGGCGCCCAGCGGGTAGTAGTCGTCGCAGACGGCGCCGCACCTGGCGCACGCGTGGCTCTTGCTTTCCGGTTTCGGGGGGAGGGGGGCGAGCTCGGACTCGTGGGAGAGCTGGTGGTCCTCCAGGTCCCGCTCGGTCAAGAAGCTCTCCCCGCAGGCGCTGCAGATGAGCAGGCCGCCCTCGTCCTCGGCTTCCGGGGAGCGGCCGGCGCCACCGGGGAGCGTGTGGCAGCGGAGGTGGCTCCGCAGGGCCGACAGGCTGGCGTAGTGATTCCCGCACACGGAGCACTGGCAGAGCTCCCCGTACTCCTCCGCATCCCGCCGCTCTTCCGCCTCCACGTGCTTCTGGGCCGGGCCGCGCTTTCGCCTCCTGGACCCCACGGGGACCGGACTCTCGTTCCCGTCCTCCTCCACGTCGGCATTGTCCCCCGCCTCCCGGAATCCCCCGCTACCCGTCAGCCCGTTCAGGTTTTCCCGGCGCGGACACTGATGGGATTTGATCCCGGCGATATCGGAATACGTCTCCCCGCAGTCGGCACACATGTGCCTCTCGGCCTGAAATCCGGGATCTGGCGTCGGTGGGGAGGCAGGACAGCTACTGGCAAGGCCAGAATCAAACGGCGGGAAGCACACACTCCCCGACGCATCTGCAGCGTCATCTGGAGGAGCCGGAAGGGCGACATCTTGAGGCATGGCCAATCCGGAATCTGGGACCTGAGAAGAGAAAGGCAAGACGTAGCTCTGGCCTTCCAGAGTCAAGGGCTCGGGGGAGAGCCAGTCACCCTCAGAGCTCAAGAGCAGCGCAGGAGGCTTCGATTTATGGATGCGGAGGTGGCTTTTCAAGGCGGCGAGGTGCGGGTAGTGCTTCTGGCAAATCGAGCACTGAAAGACTCCTGTCTGGTGGGAGCGCTTGTGGTTGATCAGGCTGCCAGCATGCCGATAGCTCTTGCCACAAAGCTGGCACTTGAATCGGCGCTCATCCGATCCCGTCACCTCTGCCGCGGCCTGATTCACCTTGGGTTCCCCTTTGGCCGCCGGCGTCCCTTCTGGGTTTCCCTCTTCCTGTTCGGGCGGCACGTCTTCATCCTGCAGACCTGCATCGTGCGTGAGGTAATGAGCCTTAAGGCTTTCGAGGTCGGAGTAGCTCTCCCCACAGAAGGCGCAGGTGTACATCTGTCCATTCACGGCCGCCACAGACTCCTCCTCTTCAGCCTCTTCCTTCTCGTCGCTCCGGCCAATCAGAGGTGGATGCGCATAGACGCCATCATCAGGGGATCCGACCCCGGTGTAGTCATAAGACAAGTCGTCGGAGAAGTCGTCGGGCGGCCCCAGCGAGAGAGAGGTGCTGTTGTGCAGCAGCACGTGGTCCTGAAACTCCCCCTCGCTGGAGAACGCCACCTGACACAGGTGGCAGAAGTGGGATGCGTCACCGTTCTGAGGCGCCGACAGCTCCGCGGCGGCTGCGCCCGAGAACGGAGACGCCACTGCTGGACGGCCCTTGGACTTGCTGTGGATTCGCAAGTGGCTCTTGAGAGCTGCCAGGTTATTGAACTGCTTGTAGCAGACGTGGCACTCGTACGCCCCCAACTGGTGGGACTTCTTGTGGTTTATGAGACTGCCATGGTGCCTGTACGTTTTCTCACACTGGTTGCACTTGAACGGACGGTCTTCCTCGGTGCTCGGCTTGTCCACCCCTGCTTCCAGGTGGGCGTCCGGCTGGAGCCCGCAATCGGGGCTCGAGTCCGTTACCGAAGCCTGGGAATCCGCCTGCTCCGACGGGTCCTGTTCCAGAAAGGTATCGCGGTCCCTGCTGCCCCAGGGTGGGTCGAGGACATCCCCCACCTCCCTGAGGAACGGAGGAGGGGGCGGATTATTGCTGGGAGCTGGCGGGGGCACACCGGTCAACATGCCGCTGGGGTCCCCCGGAGAGGCTTCCCCGGGAATCGCGTCGGGCCCGCTTTCCGTTTCGTCAGATCCTGCCACCACGGGGCCCAGGGGCTCCCCCGGAGGGCCGTGCAGCTTCTGGTGAGTGGCCAGCTGCGTGGCCAGTCGGAAGGCCTTGCCGCACACCGGGCAGGGGTAGTTCTTGCCCGGCGTGTGGATGCGCAGGTGGTTCTTCAGCGCCAAGGGGTTGCTGAGCTCCCGCGCGCACACGGGGCACTGGAACGACCCCACCTCGTGGGTCTTCTTGTGGTTGACCAGGCTGCCCGCGTGCCGGTACCCGCGACCGCACTGCTCGCACCAGAAGCGCCGCTCCTCCTCGTGCTGGTAGTGGCTCTCCACGTGCTCCAGCAGACCGGGCCAGCTCGGACACACCACCTCGCACTGCTTGCACTGGAAGCCGGTGGTCCGGGCCTGGTCCTGCATCTCAGGAGGAGGAGGAGGAGGAGGAGGAGGAGGTGGATTTGGGAAGGACCCCTCCCTCCCTCCTTTCCCTCAGGGGCAGGAGAGCTTTCGAAAAGACAACGGGCACGCTTTCTCACAGCAATCTGTCCACGGGGCAGGCGCGCGCAGTCCTCATGCCGCCCAGATGAGCCGGAATCAAACCTCCTGGTCAGGATCCGGAGACTCACATCCCTTCTCCCGACGCCAGCACCGTCACAGATCCCCGGAGCGGATCAGGGCGCAGGGCTGCGAAAACAAAGGCCGACGACCATATAAATTAAACTAAGAAACTAAGATAAAGAACTGAGACGGCTGCAGGATTTTTACCTGGACACATTAAACCCCTGCACAATCCTCCATCAAATACTATGAATAGCAGGTATGGCTGATTATTCCTTCTGTGTAACATTTTCATATCCCAGCAAAACAGAAAGAGAGTGCTGTCTCTGGATGTTAGCCTGCATACGAACAGAAGAACTATGGCTCATCTGGCCCATTTGATAGTAGTTATTTGACCCCAGAATCATGCTCGAGAGCTGCCTCTGGATCTGTCGCACATCTAGCCAGTTTTGTAGTATATGGAAAGCTTGTTCAACTCTCTCGCCACCCTTTGTGTAAAGTGGTGCCTCCAGACCTGGTTGGAGGATCTCATCCAGCTGTTTCTTGAGAGAAACCAGGGCATCGGCCTCAACTACCAGGCTGGACAGCTTGCTCCAGACTCCCACTACCCTTTGTGTAAAGTAGTCCCCGCTGTCCTCTTGGCCGTGACAGAAAACGACAATAGTACTGTACCAGAAATTGTTTTTTTTGTCAAGTATTTTGTACAGTAGTGCCCATTTCCTCAACAAGGGACAGTGTTTAAGCCCCGGGTTCACTGCTCCCTTATGAGCAAGTTACTGAACGTCTCTTCCTGACCCAACCTTCAGACGAGACCTTTAACCCAGGCCCTGTTGTCAGAGATTTCACAGACACAGCAGCCCATGAAACTCAAACTTTGGGCAAGGCATCTGGGTTTCTGGTTCCAGCCACCTGCAACTCTTTGCCTAAAGAAGCATCTCCTATTTTGAGTCATTAAGTGAACCTACTGCCTATATCACACCCTGGGATGAATCCCAGCGCGACACAGGGGTGAGAAACTGCCTGTCCTGCCCCCAGTTCAAAGTATCCTGCCACCCTCAGAACAAACATCCCATATCTCTAGAGGCCGTCCGCACAAGCTTAGCGACAATCAGGGGGTCGATTAGACAACTTCAGGAACAATGAGAGGAAGAGGCCTCAGCCTTGAACGTATCGGAGAAACATCGAAGGCCGGTCGCAAAAAAACAAACAATCGAAGATACACGGAATGAAGGCTTCGTGGGACACAGTTTAAAGGGACAACCCGCACTACAATTGGGAATTCATTACCAAAAAAAACCTCTCCAAGTCTGCCCCGCGTCACTCCCAGACTTCAACAAAAGCTCATTAGTTCAAATTGTGAGTTGATATTAGCTTCTGGCGCGACTGCCACGCCATGGTGAAAAGATCGCTCAATTGTGGTCGCGCTTCGTCTGGTCTGCGTTCTGCGTGGGGCTTCAAAATCCCTACGACAGGAGAAGACAGGACGAGGAGGGGGGTCGGACTCCGTCCGAGACCCCGTTTCACCAGATGAAGGAGCGGTTCAACCTCTCACGCTCAGGCGGCTCGACATTTTGTGGAGCGGTGAGCAGATGAGACTCCTTCGCTTTGAATGAGTAATAACCGCGTGGGATCAGCACTTTGCGGAAGAAAAAAAGTGGGTCTAGCCGACGCTGTGACCCAGACCGGAGAGTTTAGCCGTCCGGCCCGAAGTTACAGAGAGCTCCCGTGGTCGTCCCGGGACGAGCTGCGGGGAAACGCCGCCGCGGTGCCCGACACGACACGACACGACTCGCCACGCCACGCCACGCCGAACGCCCGAGCTCGACCGGCTCCGTCGCGTCACTACCAACCCAGCCCCGGTCGCACAGGTTGTGTTTATTCCGTTGGAAGTGGAAAATCATATCTTACAAGTTAGCTTAGGGTCTTAGTGATCACATCTTACACGTTACTAACCCGCCGCGTTCAGGCAATTGACTGCCGCTGGGGACCAGGATCAGTCCCCTCAGTGCGGGAGGTCGCTGCTGGTGTTATTTTCTCTCAAGCCCAGTTCGCCGTGTTATTATTGAACACACACCGAGAGAGAGAGAGACGGTCTCACACACACACACACAAAGATCGCTTCCCTAAACAAACGGGCTGAAAAAGAGGGAAGGATGGCGACGAGGGAAACCGAGCGAACCTACCCGGTCCGCCGCCATCCTGCGCGGGCCACCCTGTTCACAGGCCGTCCTGGACCGGGATCGGATTTGGGGTTTTAGTCACAGCCGCTCAACCCGTCCTCTCGCCTCCTCTCGATCTCTGTCTGTCTTCGGCTCCACACACTTCCTGCTGGGGTTGCTAAGAAACAGGAAGTGTGTCCCCGCGAAAGCCTTCCCCCCCTTCTCCGCCGACACAGTGGCTGTTCGGATCCGGCCAGCCGCCAGGTAACATAATAACAAAAACAAACTTAACCACTCTGTAATGGTATGTAACTCTGCAAATTATACATTTTTTCAAAAAGAGGTTGCCTAACTAAAAATCGTAATAAATGAACACAATGCATAAATAATACATAAATAAATAAATCACACCCGAAGAAGGCTCCACAGCCGAAACGTTGTTTCTTCCCTTCTCTTTTCAGCAGGGAATAAACCTTTACTTGTTCCATAAATAAACACGTTTTTCTTTTATATCCTGGATAGAGAACTACAGATTAGCAAGCGGGGCAGCCCTTCACGTCACCTCGTCCGTATCGCCCATTTCACATATACAATTATGTATGAAAATTTACACGTGAATTTGTTATAGCGCCATTCATCCAGAAGGATCAGAGGACGCTCTCAGGAACCACCAGTGAAGATTGTCCCAGACAGAGTGCGAAACGGTCCCCTGGGGTTTTGGGGCTCTGTGTAGGCAAATACCCCCTGGAGCTGTCTAGATCCGGGTATTGTACCCTGAAACAGGACAATTCTAAAATATTTGGATATTTATTTGTTGGAAAAAAAAAGAGATTTGCATTTTTCAACCTTTACATTGGTGTCGTATTTTACCTTGTATTTAACTATTTGAATGTATTTTTGGTAAAGTGGTAGTTACTGTTTTTTTAGTTAATTTATTACTTAAAAAAGCTCAGTTTAAAACTGATAATAGGAGGTATGTCTTTACACAAAAGGTGGTGGGAGTGGGGAACAAGCTGCCCAGCCATGTTGTTTAAGCTGATACCCAGACTTAATTCAAGAAACATATGAATGAGATCCCGAGGTAAGATCCTGGAATCAACTACTAGCATCTAGATGACCTTTCTGGTCTTGGCCTTGGCCTACATAATCCTCTTCAGTGCACCGGGTAATTCTGTGAGGTGAAAGAATGGGGAAATACCTGAAAGTATCTGATGGTGTCAGTTGGGGAGCTGGGTGGATTGAATCAAAAGGCAAGACATACACTGGAAATATGTAAAAAGTATCATTTTTAGTTTTAACAGTTGTGAATTCCTCTGGCTGTGAAGTGTCTATTTCTGTATCTATTTCAATATGCTGTCCACTTTCTTGTGTTTCTGGTATTTAAATAAAAACTTATTTAAAAAAACAAGTCAAGCCGAAGAGGGGAGGCAGACAGGAGCGCAGGGCACCTGCGTGACCTGTGACCTGTGACCTGTGACCTGGGCTCTTCTCCGCTCCTGGCGAACTGCGGCGGAAGCTGGCGCTCGGACACACGCACTGTACAATATTACCACGCAGCTCTGGCGCGCCGCCCTTTTCTTAAAGCCGAAGACACAGTTTCATCACCAACAAAGACCCCTGACATTGTTTCATTCTTTTTCCGTTTTTTTTATTTGACGATGGTACAGCGCACATTCGTAACGAGGAATAATCTCATCGAATAAAAAGTGGACAAAAATGCGTTAATGTTAACACTATTTGTAGCCATGTAAATTTTAAAACTAACAATATATACTTTTTTTTTCATTACAATTGCGGTAGCAATACAAAGCTAATGCTATTATTATTATTATTAATTATTATTATTAGTATTGCACTTCAGATAAGTTGGCCCTGCGGCTCCTTCACTAGGTGTCTCCTCCTCTCCTCTTCCCTGTGATGGTCCTAAAGCCGGCCCGCCTCCTCTCCCTCCCTCCCTCCCTTCCTCTCTCACTCTCTCTCTGCCCGACGAGGCTGGTTCAAGCGCGGCCCCTTTGGAGAAACAGCACGGCGCTTTTGTGTTACAGTAACCATCGCCGAGCTGGATATCCGCTCCCGCCCGGCCTCAGGTGAGATCGCCGCCTCCTCAGAACTGCGGGCCGCGGCAGCCGGTCCGGTCCGCTCCGGCTCCCGGCTGCCGCCGCTGCCTGCACGCTTGTCGCAAGAACTGCACCGGTTCCGGCTGCGGGTTTGACTCGGCGGCGCTGCCTTGTCTGGTCCTAAAGCCAGCCATTTTGTCTGCTTCGTTTTCGAACTTGTTTTTTTTTTTAAACGTGTATTTAATGGGAGAACAACAGGAGAAGCGCTTTTGCCACATAAGCGGGTTTTTAGTGAAACGCGACGCGGCGTTTCAGACGCGCCGACGGCGAGACTTTCCAAGCCAGGCGTTAAACGTTACGGTAACAAATTTAAGCCGCTGGCGAGGCTCGGAAAGGTTTAACTTCTCCGAGCGCACCCTCCCTCTCTCTCTCCCAGAGGTCCTAAAGCCAGCCATTTTGTGATTGCCTTCAAATCTGCTCTTCACGCAAGGAGGGGTGATGGAAAGGTACCCCAGCGGTCCTGTACTCCTGTTCGGTCCTAGCGGGCATGTACCCCTGGAACTTGTTCGGAAAAACAACTGCTGGCTTTTAAGTCCGTTATTCAGAAGCGCTGGTTTGGTAGTCAGGAAAGCTGTAATACAAATAATATACCTGCATAGAAGATAGAAGAAGCATTAAATAATTCATGGGAGCCTTTCAAAACGTCCTTTTTTGCTCTCTTTTAATGAAAGCCTTTGTAGCTCTTTAAACGCCGGAGCAGTGAAGAGTAATTTAGATATTCAGGGGTGGTATCGAGGTCAATCAGGCAGCGAAAAGGAACGAAGCGATATTTGATCAAAGATCAGAAAGAGAAAGTTTTTCTTTCGAGCTTTGGGCGTGCGGGGCCACCAGGGAAGTGACCTGGAGTGACCCTGGAAGCCCTTGGGGTCAGGTTTGAAGCGCCCCCCTCTCTTTAAACGAACCACGACTCTTGGGTTGTGAGCAAATCGACACAAAAAGACAGTTGACAAACGGGGAGTCAGGAGGCACTTTGGCCCATCTAGCCGGTTTAGTAGGGGCTGGGCAGCTTGTTCCACACTCCCACCACCCTTTGTGTAAAGTAGAACGTCCTGTCCTGACTGCAAGATCTCATCCAGCTGTTTTTTGAGAGAAGTCAGGGTATTGGCTTTGACAACATGGCTGCGCAGCTTGACCCACACTCCCACCACTCTCTGTGTAAGTGAGGGCCTTTTGATTCTGGAGGCCTGAGATTCAGTGAAGACTCTTCAGGTGGAAACCTCTCTATGGGGGTCCAGTCAGGGTCCTGGTCTGGGGGATGGGCTTTTTTTGGGGGGG